CTAAAGGAGTCTAATTTGTATGTTTACAGCCCAGGACAACTTTCCTTGACAAAGTTTTAAAGACTTGGATGATGTCCAAAATATAGCTAATGTGCTAATGCTGGAAGTGACACCGAACGAAAACAGAGAAGTGGCAAACAAAAAGTTTAAAAGCAATCGCCTCGCTAATGAAAATGCGCAGCTGGTCGCCTGAAGTGCAAGATTTCAGCGCCCTTCGAGGAAGAATCTAACACCCTGCTCTGTCACCAAACTTTCTAAATGGATTACAGAGATCTGGTCAGGCCCGGCAAGCCGCTTTGTCGCACGCCTGAAGTGACAAACGCAGAGGATTTAGGTCTCCAGGAGCCAATTACAGCACTGACAGTCAGAGGACAGCTTTTGGTGGCCCCAAACGGATTGAGAAGAACAGAGACACTCGGTAGTCCAGAGATTGTCGACCAACCGTACATGGGCTTGGGTGTCATGTCAAACTATTTTCCATCAATGCGGCATATTTTATTGAGCGTAATTGAGCGCGAGTAGCTAGACATGCAGCTGCTCCTTACATGACATTTTTTCTTGGGTTGTGATCATAGGCGCGGGAGCCGGGGGGGGGGGGGAGGGGCAGTGAGGGCAGCTTCCCACTCAACTCTGGGGCCGTGGGGGCGGTGCCCCCACAACTTTAACCCGCGCATGACTGGGGTATTTTCCATAACGCGAGTGACTGAGAGGGGGGGGGGGGGCTCTCCAGAGCCCCCCGCTCTTATCTCCAAAACTACTGAGCCGATTGTCAAAATTCAAACGGTGTCTGATAGCCCTCGAAAAACTGTCATGCGAAACCTATTTCTATTTACCTCGAGGTCACCGATGACGTCACAGGTCAGGTCAAAGTAAAAATTATCGGCATTTCTGATTGTTCACAATTTAGACTCTGGCCGCCGGCTGACAAGTCCGATCAGGCTCATTTTTGGTTTACCCACTCCTTGATATATGCCTTAGATACCCTGAGGGTACCGAACTTTTTCTCCGAATTTTTTTCAGGTCAAGGCCCGGTCATCCTAGGTCACGAAAATTGTACATCACGTATCGGTCACGTGACGCATGTTTTATGGTCCATTTTATTCGTAGATTTCGAAAGTAATGTCGTCTGTGTCATTTGAGGTCATTTCAGCTGAATTTACCGGAGGTCAGGTCACTTTCAGGTAAAAAAAATGCCAAATTTTGAAAATGAAATTTCAACAAAAAGGTACCAATCAGATGCAATTTGGGCTTAGGAACACGATGGTGCCATTTATATTGCTGTACGATGTCAAAAACGCACTGAAAAAATGGTTTTGAAAAATATATAATTGTGAAATTTTATTTTGACAATAATGCAAATAACTTGGCTATTTTTGAAGATATTGGGCTAAAACTTGGTAGATTAGTTCGTCAGTTGTGTGTTCCATCACATACAGGGTGTCTCAAAAAAGTGTCACGGTTTTGAACATCTCCCGTTTCGTAACCATAACGCCTACATTATTCAAATTTTCCAGATTTAGTGGCAATGTTTTGACATTTTATATGGTAAAATTACGAGTTCCTAGGCAGAATGGTTTTTACACTAGAACAAAAAAAAAAAAAAAAAACTCAATTTTCGTGCTGTAGAATATGGTACGTCACGGCCTGCCGTCGATCCTGAAGAGTCTGGGCCCTTTTCGCCTAATGAATCCAGAAACAAGCTCATCAATACATTTTTGAAACCTTTATAGGTAAGAACACCGTGTACAACTGCCATCTGGAGCACAGCAGCAAGCTGAAACACAGCCACAAACATGGGCAACGATCAACACTGATTGATTTTCAGACGACGCGAGTTTCCATTTCGACAGTCGACGGCATCTTTGATGGCAAAATCCTCTTCTCGCTTTTATTCCGAAACACATAAAGAGAAGAACCCCCGAAGTCTTCAAAAATGTTTTGAGACTTGGCAGTCTATCACACCCTGCAAATTTCGTCTCACCTGCGAAAGGCTTTCTGGCTCTAAAGGCGTTGAGAAGTTACAATATTTAGCCCGGCAGTTGCTGAGGTATGCCACCCGCCGTTTGCTTGGGGGGGGGGGGGGGGTAAACACCCCGAGCCGATAACTCGAGAACCAATAGGCGGAGCGAAACGCACGAGGCGGCAAACGAAAGAATGTGACCAGACGACGCTTCAGATGCGTACTTGAAACTTGAATTTGCGGGTCACTGATCGGGTCAAGGTCAGGTCAAACACCTGAATTCGGGCTTCCAGTAGCATGGACTTAAAACCTCGCAATGGGTGCCTCTCGTCATAAACTCTGTCAAAACGATGCACAATCCTTCATAGAAGGCCCACACGAGTGTCAGATACATGTAGGGGTCAGTCCCATAGGTCTGGGTCAAGGTCAGGTCAATCAGGTAAGCACATACCCCCGAATGCCAAAACTGGTATTCGCAGTCTGACAATGTTTTATGGGTAATTTTGGGCGTAGAACACGAGTGACATTCGTTTTATCATATAAGCACTTGTTTGATTCAAAAAGTTCACTTTCAGAAATACATGTAGTTATCATGGTCGTGAGGTAGTCACGACAAATTGCCAAGAATCAGTTCAAGATTTTGGAAAATGTGGAACGATGATCAAAAATCGAAGATATTTAGCTATTTGATTGTTCATGGTAATGGCAGTCTCATAACGTTTACGGCATGTCTGCATGGCTATTCTGTGATTTTATATGAATTTTGAACATATGCCGTTTTTGGTCGAAAACTCAGAAGTCATGACGTCACTAAAACCTCGATATCTCATAAATTTTCCAACCGATTTTTTGAAACTTTGTCACAATAAACTTCAATCAGTTCCCTACAGCTACAAAAGTGTTTATGCCATAGCATAAAAACGCTCTATAGAGCGCGTAGTTTAGCCCCCCACCCCCAGCAACTCGCGGGTTAGGATCGGCAAGGTTCACTGAAAACGTCAGAGGTCGATGATCTGGCCTGAACTGACCTGACCTGAAATTAGTGTTGGTTGCACAAGTTTCAGCTTGAATCAAAGGATAAGGAGTTTTTTTCAGTTCTCTAGGTCAGCGACTCAGCGCATCCAAGGCAATCACGAATAAACCGTGGGGGTGGCACCCCCAGCTACTTGGCCGGGGAGGGTTATGATAAATCACGATGAAGCACTTGTCAGAATCATCAGCAGCTCACCGCATTTGCAATATCAACAAAACACTTCTAGGAATCGTAGGCGCTCTGCCCTGACATTTTCTTCCGTACCCACGCTCACTTTATGATGTCTCCAATTACATATATAACGATTCTGAGCATGATTTCGGGCGATGACGGTGACTTTATTGGACCTTCTGGCTGTTTATGGCTAACAATGTCGCGCAGCTACGAGCCCGGTGCCGTCCTGAAACCACTAAATTATGATATCTGCGACGACTTTTTGAATCACTTTGCCAGCGTCGAATGCAAAGAGTGAAATAGTAAATTGAAGCTGTGGAAATATGGTTATATTTGTTATTTTGTGTTGCCCTGAAAAAAAACTAAAAAGCTGATTAAAACTAACTGAAATGAATTGCTACACCAACAAACAGAAAATGACTTGTATGAGAAGGGTAAGAGTATAATGACTATTACTAATGATTTCACGTTAAACTGTACATTTCCACAATCACTAAGAATAAATTTTACATTTGTGCTTTTATGGCCAGCCAGCACCTAACTAGTTGAGCGGAAAACATCGGAAGCTCTGCAAGGAAAATACAGGGTGGCGCCGATAAATGAAGACAATATGTGCTCCACACAAAACATGATTTTTTGGCAAAAGTCAGTACATTGGATGAAAGCTTGGAACTGGGGTGGCTGATGGCGACCTGTCGAGCACACTTCACTCGATGAATCCCCCTCCGCGTCGATGACGGCCTCGATGCGCGGCTTGAACCGGGCGCAGGCCTTGGTCAGCATGGTCTTGTCCATCTTGACCATCATCTGCTTGGTGGCTGACTTCAGAGAGTCAATATAGTTGTGTGGGTGTTTGTTAGTGTCCCTCTCGACCACGCCCCAGACGTTTTAGTCGAGCGGGTTCAGGTCCGGGGAGTTTGGCGACCAGAACTCGGGCGTGATGTGACTGTGCAGGTTGGCGCTCATCCACTCCTGCGTCACCCTGGCCTTGTGGGCGGTTACAGAGTCTTGTTGGAACACATAAGGCCTTCCTTAGCCACTCAGTCGATCCAGGGCTTCGCGACGTCACCGTCATCGACGGTGACGTCGACGTCGGGTCATCGTCGACGACGTTCTCGACTTTGGCAATGAAATCGTCGTCTCTGACGGCATCAGATCGTCGGGGATGTTTCTTCCGCTTTGCCACAGACGGGACGTCGCCCACAGACTCATCGAAGTTCCGCTCGACTTTATAATCATGGCTTCTGTCGACCTTGAGGAAGTTGGCGACCTCGGATGCCTAGCTGCCGGCGTGAAGCGCCACAATGACCGTGTGCCTTTTCATTTCTTCCGTTATCATCTTCAACTGCAACGTTCCCTTTTGCTATGGACAACAATTTACATAAAGCATGGAACATGAATGCAAAAAATTATTGCTCTGCACAAAACAGTTTCCTCGTAACACAGGTTTGACATTTGTGGTTATTTACCGGCGCCACCCTGTAATGAAAGGTAGGATACTGTAGCAGTACTGAGATACGAAACGAGTATCTAAAAGTATCTCGAATCGGATCATATGCACTCGTAATTCAGTGCTGTATCTTTGTACTTCATGATACTTTATGATTCACGGGCCACAGAAAAGACATAAGTATTATATTATTCTTCATATTATATCAATGCAATTATCGGCTATCGCCATCCACGAGCCCCTTTTTCCTATCCGCTGCCTCTTACTTTCATGTTACAAACTTGTGGCAAAGCGTTTGTCCTTACTTGCTAGGCATCGCAAGAGTTGCGCTTATAGGCATCCCGGGAATTTTTGAACTATGGTATCCCAGCACCATGACTGACCTTTGGTGGCGCCACGCTCTGCTCCCGTTCTCTTATCCGCTCCAATCGCACTCCTCGGTCCTCTGCACGGGTCACCGCCCCGACACGGCACAGCACTGCGGGTCGACTGCGGCTCGACGCCCCTCCGTCGGTCGGCGGCGCAGCTCGCGGCCGTCCGACGGGACGACGGGACGACGGGACCGCTGCCCAACGGCAGAGGTGAAGCCCAGACTGGGTCCTAGCTACCAGCTACCGGCCAGAGGACGATCTCAAGCACGGAAGCACTGTCTCGTGTGGTGCTGTGTGTTTTTGATGTGGTGTAAGTAAGTCATGGCCATGACCTATGTTTGGCATTGATATAAAGGCACAAATGAAACTGGTGTTTGTTGTTAACCGGAGTGTTCCTCCATGTATTCATTTTCTGATCCAAAATAAAGTTTTGTCTTCGCTAAATTATCAGCGTTGTACGATGATGTATGTATTCCCAAAATGTCGATATATAATTGGCAGCAGCGCATCCACGAGACGTGATGAACTCCCATACTCCCATGGATATAAGCATATGCCAAATCATGATGATTGTTTACATTCACCCATGAGGACACTTTTAACACAAATTTTCAAACTTGCACTCAGCTTAAGGCCTAAGCCCACCTTTTATTCGTATCAGCAAGCTGCTTTACATAGAATACGCCATAAAATAAAACGGAAAATGTGACAAAAATATACCAATGGCCTAAACTTCCAGCGAATGAATCATGAGATGGTGCTACGCCTTGTTCTCTTTCGCAATGTTCATGGTATGTCTGAACAATGGTTCCATGAGGTCTACATCCTGTTGGGTCTCGCTAAGAATGATCCTGCGCTGAAAGGATATTCCTTGCCCCACGAGAGACGTAACCTGAGCTTAGCCTTGTTAGCTTGCAGTATGCAATGGTGGCATTTGAGATGGCTCGCCTGAAGATCGAGAGAGGTCTGAGCTGAGTTATTATGTGTGTTAGAATGTGAAGGCAGTATGAATGCTCTGATCTCTTTTGCAAAATTGTCCGACAATTCAGTGTTGTCGGACAATTTGCAAATAAATATGCAAACATGCAATTGCAACATATTGCATATAAATATACAATATGCAAATAAACTCAGAAAGACCTCTCAAATCGAATGACATGCAGCATGGCCCACTTCAGCCAGCTTGTCGACCTTAGTGACTTTGATCTGACTTTGACTTGTGGTGAACACCGTAATTCGACCTCACCCAAATAGCTTGACGCATGTTAAAATCTTGTTCAAGGTGTTGAGGGCGAGCAATGGCATGTTTGATCATTTGTTAGTAAAATAATATGGAATAGAGAACCTTATGCTCATTCTTTGAAGGTTTTTTGGTTGATCATGAATTATTGAACTAACTCATTATCAGCCAAAAAAAAAAATCAAAGAATGAGCATAAGGTATAAATTCCATGCTATTATACCTGACGCATCTGAACATGAAAAACACGATGATTCCAAAGCCACAGCTCTGTGACAATTCATGGCAAAGTTATTCACCGAAAATCGAATTCCCGTACGTTGGGGCACTTGACGAATCATTGTTTGACCTGAGACCCTGAACACGGGTACCAGTCGCTGCTCTCGTGCCAATGCACACGCTCATTTTTCCCGCGAGGCTCTCATAACGTAATTGCTAATTAGGGTCAAATGACGATTGGTTGGGGGTCCAAAGATCACCCTCAGCCGGGCTTATGTAGAAAACGAATCTGAATATGACAACATATGACGTTTGATTTGTTTGTCTTTGATTAGATGTAGCGCTTCAAGTTATGCTATGTGATTAAAAAAATGGTTCTTTTCCTGACACAATCAATGCACAAGCAAAACATATTTGAAGTTTTGTATTAGAACAGGAATTATTGCATACAAATATCATCCCCTAGCACCACACGGGGAGAGAAACGACCACCGAAATCCTTTTCTTTTATGCACACGTGGATGCTCGGCTGCTCGGCGATGGATAAATCGTGTTGACACGATCTGTCAATCAGCCCAAGATTGGCCCTGTTTGCGCTCACATATTCCAGAAACGTAACCTTCACCTCTGCCCCTTCCCACCGAAGCTATTACCAGGAATAATTTCCTGCATGTTCCGTTATTTTTCTTTGCTCCTATTGTATACCATCTTCCAGCATGTTGAAGCCGGTGCCTGGTGTGTTGCTGCGGGCCACTGACCCGGCTAGCCGTCGCTTTCTTCGCCCTTGGTCGCAGTGAGCGCTTATTGCCTGCTGGGAACGGCTGGTGGACGGCAGTAAACGGGATATCCCGGAGCCCGCGACCTCACTGGGACCAGATTGACGGCGGCGCCACAGCGCGAATCAGCTGGGGCGGCCTCAAATGGAACGTCATCGGCGTTAGATGCCGCCCCAACCCGGGTTTGTTTGGTAGCCACGTAAGATATTTCGAATGAATTGCGTTTTTCATGAAGCGTTATATTCTTGCTTTCGTACTGAGTAGTTCATGGCACATAGGTTACGGCTTTTACTCTGCAGAGAAAACTGCATTTCAATCTATGTAATGGGTTTCCGTATTTTTAAGTGCTGGAAAGAAAGATACTGAAGAATATTTTCATAAAAAGAAAACGGTTGCTTACTCAATACTCATGCTTTATATAGCACGACTGGTTGAAACTGTCTTCAAGCTAAGAAGTAAGAACTTGAAGACGGCGTTATTGTCTTCAAGCTAAGAACAAAGAAGTAATTCACTGACCGTGCAGCTTTTAGGGCCTACCTAAGTTAACATTTATATTTTGAAAATAAGCCGATGCATCTTTTCCATTAGTCGCTCCTGTCTAAGAGCATCAACCACAATGCCATGTCAGCAGCCCCCTCCCCCTGTCCCCCTTTTTCCGCTGTGGGCGCTGCCAGGTGGCAGCGGCGCGGGGCCGCCTCCATCAGCGGGCCGCATTATGGACAAACAATTGTTACGAATGGTCCACCGGCGGCACACGCGGACCGTGTAGAGAGCCAGAGCACAATGGTGGGAGGCACCGCCCTCTTCCTCCTCTCCTCTGCTCCTCCTCTTCGTCTCTTTCCTTCCTCCTGCCGTCCTCCGTACGCCACTATGGCCCCGCCCTCCCGTGCTAGTCCTGCCCGTCTCGCCTGGCTATCATATTCGTATCTAGCCGACTAAATGGATAGTGGGTCGGACGGAACAAAGACAGCGTGAGTGGGGGCAAGGCAGAATCAGAAGCGAGCGCCAACAATGGGAAGATGTCGTTCTCTGCCTCGTGTCTGATCTCGACAAAGTGTGCACACACACGAGTGGTAGCCGGATGAAATCGATGAAACAAGAACATCTTGACGATGGCGTGTTAATGGGTTTGGCAAGTTTGTGGTTTGTGATTTGCAGTGAATTTAACCCGGCAGTTGCTGGGGTATTTCGCCACCCACCATTTGCTGGGGGGGGGGGGGGGGGCGTTAAACGCCCCAGCCGATAACTCGAGAACCAATAGGTGCAGCGAAACGCACGAGGCGGCAAACGAAAGAGCGCGACGAGACGCTTCAGATGAGTACTTTAAACTTGAATTTTGAGGTCACAGGTCGGATCAAGGTCAGGTCAAACACCTGAAATCGGGCTTTCAGTAGCATGGACCTCAGGAGTTTGCAATGGGCGCCTCTCGTCACAAACTCTGTCAAAACGGTGCACAATCCATCATATAAAGCCTACAAGAGTGTCAGCTCCATGTAGGGGTCAGTCAAGCATAGGTCAGGGTCAAGGTCAGGTCAACCGGGTAGGCACATATCCCCAAAAATCAAAACTGATATTCGCAGCCTGTGACACATGTTTTATGGGTAATTTGGGGCGTAGAAGACGATGGTGACATTCATTATATCATATGTGTACGTGTTTGGCTCAAAAAGTTCAATTTAAGAAATGCATGTATCATGGTCGTGAAGCAGTCACGAGAAATTGCCCAGATTTAGTTCAAGATTTTGGAAAATGCGGAATGCTAATCAATAATCGAAGATAGCCATTTGATTGTTCATGGTATTGGCAGTCTAACGGCGTTTACGGCATGTCTGTATGTCTATTCTGTGATTTTATATCATTTTTTGAACATATGTCGTTTTTGGTCGAAAACTCAGAAATCATGACGTCACTAAAACCTCGATATCTCAAAAATGTTCCAACCGATTTTTTTGAAACTTTGTCACAATAAACTTCAATCAATTTCCTATAAGTACCCAAAATTTGGCGCGCCTGCGGTGCACCGTTTTATGCTATGCCGCGGCGAAAAAAGTGGGGGCGTTTAACGCCCCCCCCCCCAGCAACTCGCGGGTTAACCCGCGCGGGGCTGGGGGGGTAAATTTTACCCCCCTCGCGAATTTTTGCGATATCTCAAAAACGGCGGCGCGCAGCGCCGCCAAACTTTCAGTACCTTTTCTTACATCAATTTGACACCTTCCCTGAAAATTTGAGCGAAATCCGTCGGAAAATTTTTGAGAAATTGACGTTTTAGTGATGTCATGTTCGCCATTTTCGCCTCAAAAACGGCAAAAGTTCAAACGCCGCTAACATCTTCATTTTTAAAGGAATCAAGACGTAACAAAAAAAGGTTATACGTAATTTTACTTTGTCTATCAAATGGCTATCTCGGTTTTTTTAAAATTTTGGATTTTGGCCTAAATTTTTTCAAAAAACTGATTTTTTTGGGAAAATCATTATAAAATCCAAAATTTTGAGTCTATCGAAAAAACCGGAATATATGTCAGAGAGGTGGTCTATGTGCACCTACATACCAAATTTTAGAAGAATCAGTTCAAAAATGTGGGAGTTATTCAAAATTTTATGACGTCACGACACACAAAATTTTTGAAAAATGACTTTTTTGGAAGTTCTAGACCTCGTACGGAAACAAAAATAGCACCATTCGATTCGCCGTGAAAAACTGCATCAGATAGACAACTTTTTAGGCCTTAACAACCAACTTCAAAATTTGACCTCACTTGACCTGACCTTGACCTGACCTCGACCTGAAATTCATCCAGAGGTGGTCCATATCACTTATTGAGTGTGCCTATTGAATTCTATGAGTAAAATGACCCATAAAACATGTGTCGCACATGCCCTTTTCTATATTTTGTTTTTTGGTGACCTGACCTGACCTGACCTGACCTTGACCTTGACCTCTGAATGATATTGTATGCAACTAATATTGTCTTGGTAGCCTAAGAACACGTTTTGGGCGATCAGTCTCAGTCCATGACTCCATTCTTCGGCAACTACGGTGCAAGGCCGATACTGTAGAAACTTGCAATTTGTACCCTTGACCTGACCTTGACCTTGACCTCAAACTTTAAATTAAGTACATGTTTTTAGTAGTTCGTGATGAGAGCTTTCGATTGGCGTTTGAATTTTCCAAATCGGACCATTAGTTCGGGAGATAACAGGGGGGTAAAATTTACCCCCCCCCCCCCA